CCCCCCACCCCTACCTAACTTGGTTGGCTTGGTTTCTTCGACCTATATTGGGAATTTGTTTTAAAAGTTTAATTTCATTTCTTTATTTTTTAATTTTTCAAACATTAAGCACTGCCAGTGGCTATTATTTTATTCTATGTATCTTCAGACATTTCCATCAATTGTGTCAAGTCTGTCCCTACGTAATAATTGAAGGGGTCTTAAATCTGGTGGAATTTATGTTTTTGATGTTTTTTTATGTGATCTTCTCTRAAGAAAGGGTTGATGGCTGCAAAAACATCAAGTCTTTGTTCTTTCAGTTTTGTATTAAATGAGTTGTGTTGAAGCATTTGAACAAGCTTCTCTCACAGGGTATTGTTGTGTTGCAGGATGTAAACTTTACAGTATAAAAGTTCCTCACCACAGTAATGTTTGTTTGGGAGGGGGACACTACACTGCACATCGTTTAAGGAAAACGGTTTTATCTTGGCTTTATAAAAGTCATGTTTCAGTGACGGAGCATCAGTGTACCACGTCTGTTTTTTAAGATAACTAAGGCTTTTTCCTTTATTTTGAAAATGTGACTTGCCAGACTATAATAGTGTTGGACATTTATTGCTTTTTTAACCAACAATAAATCAACCCTTTCCCTTTATTAAAGTAGGAATGTTTCTTTTTGAATTATTGCTGACTGAACAAACATCCAGCAGATGTTTTTGTCTCAGATTTCCTTCAGCGCTGCTCTTTTAGCTTCTTTTCCTCTAACATCTCAGACCCGTCTGCACCCACACTAACTCCACGCCTCCTCATGTGATGCCTCTGACACCTCTCTGCAGGGTGTTTTCCTTCACACACACCTCCATGTTTACTCTCCTGTCTGTGTTTCTGTCGTAAACTCTCACTCGTTTCCGTCTCTCCTCCTGCTGCAGGACCAGCTGGAGGAGAAAGAATCWCTGGTTTATTTCTCCTGCTGTCTGTCAGGGCTTCTGCTTTGCCTGTGCTGTTGCTTAGTAACTGCAGCAGAAGCTGGTGTGTGTGTGTGTGTGTGTTTTTCAGTGTGTGTGTGTGTTTTTCAGTGTGTGTCTTCATGTTGACTCTGCAGGCTGAGGACAGTCAGACACACGCCGGGCTCACCGTCCTTTCAGTGATTGTCTCACAGAGGTGGACCTTCGGTCCTGTCCAGCAGATCCACAGACCCACAGACTCCATGTCTCTGTAGATCTCATCCTTTCACTGTTTATAATTTACAGCAGGGATGTCCCCATCAGATGCTCAGTATCSTATCGGTGGCAGATATGGACATTTTTTGAAAATCGTGCAGAATCAGATTTAGTCATGTGATCGGGCCGATCCAGTTTTCAGCATCATCACGTTTTACAGCTGCCGTTAAGAAGTCAAGACGCACACAAGTACACAACCATGTGCACAGTGTGGGAACACTTTTCAATGGAAAACAATGATGCTGAAACTGCAAACTGGATGTTTGTGGTGGAACAGCAGGGCTCGCTTTGAWACCATCAACTAGAGCTGGGCGGTATGACCTAAATTTTATACCACGGTATTTTCAAAAATTACACCAGTTTCACAGTATTTGACAGTATTTTTTTTTCCTCACAGCTCAGCTGATAATAAAATGTACAAACTTTGCTTATTGACTTTTTTCTTTTCCTGTAGCTCTGTCTGACTGTTTCCCTCCTCTCTGTCTGACTGTTTCCCTCCTCCGTCTGACTGTTTCCCTCCTCTGTCTGACTGT